TATATATATATATACACACACACACGCATATATATATACATATACACACACACACGCATATATACACACACATACATACACATACACACATACAGTACCTTGTGAAAGTATTGGGCCCCTTGAACTTTTCAACCTTTTGCCACATTTCAGGCTTCAAACATAAAGATATAAAATGTTAATGTTTTGTGAAGAATCAACAACAAGTGGGACACAATCGTGAAGTGGAATGAAATTTATTGGATGTGTCAAACTTTTTTAACAAATGAAAAACTGAAAAGTGGGGCGTGCAGTATTATTGGTCCCCCTTGTGTTAATACTTTGTAGCTCCGCCTCTTGCTGCAGTTCCAGCTGCAGTTCCAGCTGCAAGTCTCTTGGGGTTTGTCTCATCTGTTTTGAACATGGAGACACTGAAGTTCTGCCCATTCTTCCTGCAGAACAGCTGGAGCTCAGTGAGGTTGGATGGAGAGCGTTTGTGAACAGCAGTCTTCAGCTCTTTCCACAGATTCTCGATTGGATTCAGGTCTGGACTTTGACTTGTTCATTCCAACACCTGGATACGTTTATTTGTGAACCATTCCATTGTAGATGTGTCTTTATGTTTTGGATCATCGTCTTGTTGGAAGATAAATCTCCGTCCCAGTCTCAGGTCTCTTGCAGACTCAAACTGGTTTTCTTCCAGAATGGTCCTGTATTTGGCCCCATCCATCTTCCATCAATTCTGACCATCTTCCCTGTCCCTGCTGATGAAAAGCAGGCCCAAACCATGATGCTGCCACCACCATGTTTGACAGTGGGGATGGTGTGTTCAGGGTGATGAGCTGTGTTGCTTTTACACAGTTGGATTTTGGTTTCATGTGACCAGAGCACCTTCTTCCACATGTTTGGTGTCTCCCAGGTGACAAACTTTAAACAACACATTTTATGGATATCTTTGAGAAATGTCTTTCTTCTTGCCACTCTTCCATAAAGGCCAGATTTGTGCAGTGTACGACTGATTGTTGTCCTATGGACAGACTCTCCCACCTCAGCTGTAGATCTCTGCAGTTCATCCAGAGTGATCATGGTCCTCTTGGCTGCATCTCTGATCAGTCTTCTCCTTGTTCCAGATGAAAGTTTAGAGGGACGGCCGGGTCTTGGTAGATTTGCAGTGGTCTCATACTCCTTCCATTTCAATATGATTGCTTGCACAGTGCTCCTTGGGATGTTTAAAGCTTGGGAAATCTTTTTGTATCCAAATCCTGCTTTAAACTTCTCCACAACAGTATCTCGGACCTGCCTGGTGTGTTCCTTGGTCTTCATGATTCTCTCTACGCTTTGAACAGAACCCCGAGACTCTCACAGAGCAGGTGCATTTATACGGAGACTTGATTACACACAGGTGGATTCTATCCCTATACTGACCCTCCGTATATTCCCCGTACGGGCCATCATTTATGTAGTGAGCTAAGGAGTTAACTTCACTACTAATTAATTATTCTTAAAGCTAGTTCAAGCACAAAGAATATTAATTGTTAATTCCAACGGATTATTTTCTTTTTCCAGTTAAATTTCTGCCATGTGACCAAGATAACTGTGAGTGGAGTGTTTAATCAGTGACATGAGACGTAATTTATCTTTGACCCATCAGAATAAATGCGGTCATTTATTTAACAGAATCAAAATGTAACATCAAAACATGTACACTGATTTGCTGATCTGTTTCTGATTAATAAACTTGTCACGCTTTACTAACAAGACAACAGAACATTACTGATCGAGGCCGATTCACCTCTGAAGGCATCTAGTTTGTTTTACTGGTGAATAGAAGTTTAAAGAGAAGACAGATTTAAAGATTTAAAAGGAGGTTTAGATGGAAGCTATGTGTGAAACCAGAACTTTGCACCCTTCCTCCGACATCCCGCTCAGCTTCCCGATACACTTCAGGACATGCAGCGACTTTGTTACCTTAGATGGGGGATACCTCCACTCCGGAACAGAAGTCCATTAGTACGATCCCTTTACAGCGTCTCCGGTTAAAGTAGCTGGGAATCTTTAGAATAAATGCGAAGTACTCAGTTCCACCGAATAAGCTTCCTTAGAAGTGGAGCATTTACTGCTCGGGTTGAGTGCACAGCGATGCGAGCCGTGACTCCGCTAAATGGAGGGACCCCTTGGCACACGGTCCCATCCATCCGCTCCAAGTTCTGAAGACTTAGCCCTAAGACTTAAGACTCCGACTGAGTTCCAGCACTGAACTCCAAGACTGCACTTCAGGACTGAACAGAGTTCCAGGACCGAACTCAATAGTTCCACGAAATGTTCCTTTTAAAGGGGTATACACTTCCTGTTACGTGGCACTTCCTGATTGGTTGAAACAACCAAAAGGGGGGTGGTTCTAGTGATGTCAAGAGGGTCACTAGGAGTCAAGAGACAGCAGGAATGTTTACGAACGGTTAGTACAGACAGAGAACTATTGTGACAAAGTGAGACAAACGCAGGTGCCAGTTGAAGTTATTTACTGTCTGAGAGTTTTAAAAACAAGACACTTCGTTCTAATAACTCGTCTCCGTTTGTCTCTGACTTTCGACCGACATCACTAAATGCACACTTACTTCGTAAATAGACATTTAACTGTATGATCAAAAATCTGCTGAGGTTTAAAAATCATTAATACTGTTTCACAGTTGATTTAAATGAGTGGTTCACTTCAACATTTAGAAATGATAAGAACACTTTTGATTATCAAGATATTGTAAAATAGTAATGATAATGTGAAAAGAAGAGTGTTCTTTCAATTGATTAGTTCAGGATACAATTAAATAGTCTCTTGATGAGATAATTTGTATTTCTGGATTCAGATCAATGAAATAACAGTTCCTGTCCCCTGAAGGTCTTCAGAGACAGGTTGAGGTCGGAGGTCTAGTTCACTACAATTTTAACAAGTTAGTCATGGAGTTCTTCAGGGTTCAGTGTTTGGACCAATACTCTTGATATGTTTCCATTAGATAAAGTTATTAAACAGCATGGGATAAATTTTCATTGTTATGCTGATGGTCCACAGTTATATTTGTATTTGTTTCTATATAAATTAACTGAATTGAACAAGTTATTTTTTTCATCCGTCTGCATCTAATTTATGAGAAGTTCAGCTCTTACCAGTACGGCTGCACAAGATTACAAAACGCTGCACAAGATTATAAAACGCTGCGATGGGTGAGATTATTGTTTGGGAATGCCATTATTAATGGGGATAAATCTCATGTGTTCTGTCAGCTCCATCATCTAAACCAGGTGTGAGTGTCACCGTCTCGTCAGCAGCAGGACTTGAGTGCACATCACTCCAAATACAGCCCAATTTAACAATATATTTAATTTAATAATGTCATTGCAGTCCAAACAGTCCTTGGAGATATTAATGCTGCACTCACTGATTGTGCAACAATCAATCTGTGATATAATGTGCAGTCCTTTTAATCTTTTTTATGTTAAATTGATAACTGATTGACTCTGTGCAAGAGAGCGTGACGGTAAACTCTGGAGTAGGACAGCGATGTCTTCTTCCTCTCATTTCAAATAAACAGGTAAATAAATGTCAAACAAAAGTACACGTGATTTTTGTTTGTTTTTTTACAGCAATGAATGTGTTTTAAGAAAGAAAAGAATCCCTCCAGCACCTGAGTCTGTTTCTGGTTGTGACTGAAGGAACTGACCTGGAAATGAGATAGTTCAATGAGAGGCGGAGGATGGCGAGGAACAGGAACATGGGGATGACCCAGCCGTGCCATGCGGTGTACATGTACACCTGCAGGAAACACACAGAGAGGGTCGCGCTGAGGCAGTCTGCCTTAAAGGGACATTTCTTCTTTTTATTTAGGAGTGAGGCTGTGCAGAAAGCAAGAATTCAGAGCCTTCCATGCAGCACCAGCCAGCACAAAGAGCCCAGAAAAACCAACTCAAACCAGGATCAAAACAACATTTAGAGATCTGGAACAAGACGAATGTTTCACTGAAGCCAGCGTGGTCTCTAGAAGGACCAACAGTCCGGTGGGTTTATCAGAACAAGTCCAAGAAAGGTAAAAAAAAAAGAAAATTTAACTCGTGCATGCATGTGCACACAAAAAAACAAGAACTTTCTACTCTTTGTCTTTTAGGTTGATGCTGGTTTCTAAATGTGTATCGGTATTCTGTGGTTGTGTGTGTGCACGTACTGTGAAGGCGATGGCAGATGTGTACACAGAGTACCAGCTGGATAAGGCAGAGAGGTTTCTCTTGAAGTTGGTCACAGGTTTAAAGCCTCTTTCTGAACACAACAGACAAACATCAAAGAAAAGATCAGCTGTCCAGATGTTGCTTTTAATGCAAAGGTTTTTATCCTGGAACATCATTTGTGTAGAAAATGTGTTTTCTGTAAACAAGCCTCAGCAACATACACCGATTTGTAAAATATAAAACCAGATGTGAACATTTAGAAAACTTTAACGTTGAGGCCGTATTTATTCACATTATTCCAACAATCATTTCCAACGAGCTCTGGGCAGATGTTCACGTCGTCATGAGCATATTGTGGAGCTCCAGATGGACTGAACCAACTCCAACAGGTAGGGGGTTGGAGAACATGGTGATTCCTCAATGTTCATGTTTAAGGATGTAACAAAACCAGTGGAATCAAACGCTGCAGACTGGGAGCCACAGGTTTTTAAATCCAAACACTGGCGAGAAACACGAGGTTAAATTAAATGACAGACACGAGTCCTGACGGCACGTTATCGACAAACTATCATACAGCAATCTATAGCAAAAACATCTGACCTTGATCTGTGGCCCTGACCTTGGAGCCGGGGTAATTAGATGTGTACGTGAACGTCCGTCTAGTGATGACGCAGATTTGTACGATGTTTCTTTCAATTATGTTGAGCAGGTCAGAAGTTATGGGCCAAACAAGAGAACATTTACAGATGCACGACAGAATGTACACGACCCGCCTTCAACCGGAGAATAAAAACTTTTGAATGGACGTAAAAATACACTAAATTTAAAACACAACCTGAAGAATCACCAGTCAGTATAAGAATTTTAAAAAGGAATAAATCTTAACTTTTATTCTGCACGATTTGTGGAGTGCCACAGGGGTCCATGTTCGGCCCTGTTGTGTTAAATACTCCTCGTTGATTAATGGATGAGTTTATCTCAAACAGACGCTCCAGTACTAAGATAACTTTACACACTTAACAGGAAACAAAAATACTCACTGAGCCGTCTCATGTTTTCAGTCAGTCTGCGGATGAAAAACAAGCAGATTACTTGATTTGAATCAAGTGCAGCCGTAACAAAATTAAAACATTTTACTGATGACTGACTGTTCGGCTTTCTTTGATCAGTTTTCAACATGCTACTCATCCTGAAGAAAATACAACAAAGTGTGAGGCTCAGTCCAGTAAGAAGCTGTGACTTTATGTCACACAGTGTAGATAAAATCTGAAAAAATACAAATATGAACAATTCCCTCAGATAATCTGAAAGCTGAGCCCCCTCTAGAGCTTAATGGCTCGACATACTTCACAGAAGAAACATCATTTAAAGTCATAACACCTGTCAAAATGTGCGACTTTGTTTTGATTTGATATTTTATGATTTTTTTTTTATCAATTTCTACATCATTCTGTATAAACCAAGACACCTTTTCTTGTCTGGAGTTGGTCCAAAACCAGACTGCAATTCTTCTGACCAAGGCCGAGTGAGGCTCTAATGTCACCTCAGTGTGCGTCTTTCTAGGCTGAAACCAGTCTCAGAAGTAGCCACACGAGCGCACTACAACATGCACAAACGCATCAACAGCTTTTCAAATTGCACAAGTAGGAATATTTTGCACATACAAGTTGTCAAATACACGTGCACAAATCACCTGCTGCGTACGGTCAGCTGCCTGTGAAAGAAACTTGGGACTTCACTATCGCTCCAGAGTCAAAGGTAACGCTGCGTTCAAGGCAGGTGAAAAGCTGGGACATCTGAGCCTCACCAGATTTACTGCATTACTGGGAAAAGACTCATTTCAGATTGGGAACAGTAGCTCAGAACTCGTACTGAAACACACACGACGACTCCGCGTTAAGGAATGCACTGCTGAAATAAACAACCGAATAAAAGCCGGTCATTCTTCACTGAAAAAATCTATCAGGAAATTAATGTGTGTTAGCAAAAAATATATGTTCCCGGTAGTTTCTACACAAGAAAAACAACAAACACATTTTAGGCTGTTAATTTGACATGTAGAGTCCAACAAACAACAATTTCTTCAAGTCTTGACTGAAAATTGTTGGATTGGATACCTGGATTATTGAGCATGGACTTTGTTGGTTTTAATTTCTTCTTGTGTTTTAGAGCAGCTGTCGCTGAGTGGTTAGAGCAGGGGTTTGAATCCACCAGCAGTCACATGCTGAAGTGTCCATGGGCAAGACACTGAACCCCTCATTGCCTCTGATGTGTCCCATCAGTGTCTGAATGTGTGTGTAGTAGGAGTTATGAGCGACTAGCATCAGAAAAAAACTTGCTTCCATTAATATTAATAAATCCAGAAATGCTCAGATGTTCCAGCTTTTCACCAGCCTTGAACACAGCTTTACTTTTTTTGATCATGTTGATCATATTTTGATAAATCCTGAAGTTAGGGTTGGCTTGTCATGCTGTCTTAAGCTTGGACTACTAGAGGACAAAATGACCTCACTTCCATCCATTCATTTTCTTTACCCGCTTCTTCCATTTTGGGTCACGGGGGTCGCCAGTGACCATGTCCAGCAATCACTGTGCGAGGGGCGGGGGACACCCGGGACAGGTCTCCAGTCCATCACAGGGACACAGAGACAAACAAGACAACCATTCGCTTTCTCGCTCACACCTAGGGACAATTTAGAGTTACCATCAGTCTAACATGCATGTTTTTGGTCTGTGGGAGGAAACTGGAGTACCTGGAGAAAACCCACGCAGCACGGAGAGAACATGCAGACTCCACCCAGAAAGCATCCTGATGCATGCTCAATAATCCAGGTAGAAAAATCTAAAGAAAGTTAAGTCAGGTCCTCTGGACGTTCAAAAAACAAAAATTAATTGTAGAAATGTTTCGTCTGTCACAGCCACAGAATCAGCCATCCGCAACAACAAAATTAAAGAGGCTGAAGCAGAACAGCTCAGAATCAAAGTTTCAGCCTGCCTCAGCAATGCCAAACCACCACCTTCCAACATCAGTAGAGAGGAGAGGGATGCACTCACCACTCTTAGCAAGGACAAAAACATCATCATTCTCCCAGCAGAAAAAGGAAGGTGCACAGTGATTTTGAACCAGAAAGACTATCATGAGAAAGTTATGACACTCCTTAGTGACTTAAACACTTATGAACCTCTGAAAAGAGATCCAGGAAGTGGTTACAAGAAGAAGTTGATAGATTGCCTGAAAATTTTGGAGCAGGACAAGGCTATTGATCGTTTTCTGTACCACAGACTGTACCCAGGGGAGGCCACACCTAGTCTGTATGGTTTACCTAAAATCCACAAACAAGGTGTACCTTTAAGACCTATTGTTAGCATGATTAACTCTGTCACTTACAATGTTTCCAAATATCTGGCGTCTGTACTCATCCCTTTAGTTGGCAGCTCAGAACACCACATACAGAACACCATGGACTTTGTGGATAAGGTGAGGGATGTCATCATGGAGACTGATGAAACAATGGTCTCTTTTGATGTCATATCACTCTTTACGTGCATTCCTGTTGATGATGCAGTAGAGGTGGTCAGTTTAAGATTAAAATCAGACACCACTCTGAGCAGCAGGACCACACTTTCCACAGAACAACTGTGTCAACTCTTGAAACTGTGCCTGCAGTCAACCTACTTCACATATGGGGAGCAATATTATAGGCAGAAACATGGGTGTGCTATGGGGTCTCCAGTTTCTCCTATTGTTGCCAACCTGTACATGGAGGAGGTAGAAAAGAGAGCCTTGACGTCCTTTTCAGGGACACCACCAAGTCATTGGTTCAGGTATGTTGACGACACCTGGGTTAAAATTAAATCTCAGGAAGTCCAACATGTTACTGACCACATCAACTCTGTGGATAAATACATCAAGTTCACACGAGAAGATGAAAAAAATGGCAGGTTGGCTTTCTTGGACTGTGAGGTCTCAGTCTCTGATAGAGGACATTTGCAAACTGAGGTGTACCGCAAACCCACCCACACAGACCAGTATTTGTAGTTTGACTCCCATCACCCTTTGGAGCACAAGTTAGGAGTCATCAGGACTCTGTACCACAGAGCAGACAGCGTCCCCACTAGCTCAGGAGCCAGGCAGAAGGAGAAATCCCACACAAGACAGGCTCTAGAGCAATGTGGATATCCTAACTGGGCCTTCCTGAAAGCAGAGAAGAAACCCAAACAGGACTCCAGTCAGCCATCAGGTGAAAAGGAGGAACCCAGACCCAGACCAGTGGTCATTCCAGATGTTGAGGGAGTATCAGAGAAACTGAGACGTTTATTTTCTAAACATAACGTCCCAGTGGCTTTTAAACCCCAAAATACATTACGGCAAAGACTGGTTCATCCCAAAGATCCAGTCCCCCGGCACAAACAGAGTAATGTTGTGTATGCTGTTCAGTGTCAGGAGGGTGATCAGTCTTACATCGGGGGAACTAAACAGCCACTGGCCAAAAGGATGGACCAGCACAGAAGATCAACATCATCAGACCAGGACTCTGAGGTCTACACTCATCTCCAGGTCAGAGGTCACTCTTTCTAGGATGAAGATGTTCACATCCTGGACAGAGAGGAACGATGGTTTGAGAGAGGAGTAAAGGAGGCCATCTTTGTGAAAAGAAATTGTCCATCATTAAACAGGGGTGGAGCCTCCATGTTCAACTGTTCCCCTCTTAGGTTGTTTTCACGCCAGATAGTCCGGTAGACTCGGTTCGGTTCGGGACCAATATTCTTGACCTTTTGTTACATTTGAGCTGGTGTGTTTGCATTCACACTGCACTGTGCAGTCGAGTCAACCTGTTGAAGCAACCTGTTGAACCGACCTGTTGAACCAACCTGTTGAACCAACCTGTTGAAGCAACCTGTTGAACCGACCTGTTGAA